GACAAAGAAAGGGGAAAGAAAAATTGCATCAAGGAGCAGCACACACTGAAGTGAAATATTGCTCTGAAAAGTGACTTTATACAAACTGCACTTGCTACGGAGGTGACTCCATTGACTTCTCGTTGTGGCTGGTCTTTTCTAGCTGCCAACATTGCAGAGTCGGCCTCAAATCTAACAACCCAGCTGGGCTCCCCTGGACTCCACAGCTCAGATCCTGCACTATGAGCTCTGATAACAACTAGTGGACACCAGGTAAACTGGACAAGACTTTAGTCCGCGCTCACACAACTGAAATCATGCTGTAGTAAGTTCTTGCTGCACCTTTCATTGTTGGTTCCAATCCGGCAAGGCCCATGCCCTCTCTGCAGAGAGGGCAGTCCCACTGAAATGCAGTGATGCAGACCAGAAGAGGCGGGGGTTTTTTTCTGATTTAATGCTTTAACATGCATGAGATGACTCCATGTTTAAAGCTAATCGTAGGCCTAGTTCATGCTAACTAGGGTCTCAATTCTTCCTAAAGCAGAATGTAGCAAAGTCGCCCAAATACACAAAGAGACAAGAAAAAATAACCAGATGAAGCCTTAACAGCCAGATTGGGGCAATGCAAGAAAGAAACCACTCCTCAGTTTTTATCTCAGGCACATTTGCAATTTCATCAGTTATACGGCAGCTTGGGACAGATGCATCAAATTTTACCATTGGTTTATCAAACTAAATTAGCAAAACACACTGGAAAAATGAAAGGCACTGGACAAATACACTAGAAGTAATAGAGTCTATAAAGTGATCGAGCCAACACTCCTAAAAGATCACAGAAATCTTCAATAACTTCTTATTCATTTAATGAAGTTAACAGTATTTGGGATTACAGATTACATTTCTTGATAGTGTGTCTCTTACTCTGAAAACAATTGAGAACTAGCCTGATGTAACACCTTCAGAGAAAAGAAAAATCCATTTCAAGATCTCCTGAAAGCACTAGCAAAAGACGAAATCACACCTACAGTTCAGTACACTCAGAAAACTGAAGGTGAAACATACAGATGAAATATCAGGGCCCTGACTTACACAGTTACTCAGCCAAGTTTGTGTCTATAAATATATGTCAAGGTTGCTATTGCCAACAGAATTGTAAATATTTAAAAAGAAACACGCTATAAAACCCTTCGACTAAAGCATACGTTCTTCCTCACAGAGGAGAGCGTTTTTACTTTAGCACACCCTTGAAATGTATCTTAAACGCCATAACACACTTTTCCATTACAAGAACTAAACGAAAAGTCCAATTTTTTGTTTGTCATGAAGGTTTTCTTTTTAAAGCATACACATGCAACTCAATTAAAGTTAAATTGTTTGCATTATTATATTCTTCTGAAAGCTTACTGATAATCTTCACCCTCAAAGAAGTAGTAGCAACTCAGATCACCGTAATCTGAAGTTCCTTCTCATGTACAAAAACACTGCCGAAGTTATTTCCAAAACTATGGTCTTCTACACATGGAGCCCAATTTAATCCTCACTTCCTGGTTTGAGTCACATGTCTAATCTCAAATGATGATACTAGTGTAACACTGAGTCAGCCATCGAAATATGTGGGCTCACTTTATAATATAAACTCCTTCATAAAAAGTCCTGCCTGTATTTATGCAGGACATTCTATTAATGTTGCAAAGTTAAATTATCTCATGCAATTAATTCTCTTCAGAAAAGGAGAATTTGTATGTTCAGCAATCATCTTGCTTGGGATATTTTTACAATACATTGTTCCACTCTGCGCTCGATTCAACTCTAAGTTGCTTATGCAGAAACTAAACAGAACATGTGATTCATTTGTGTATCTTTATTCTTTCAAAACATCTGATAAAGACAAGCAATAGGTCAATTTGTCCCTGTGGAATCACACCAACTGATCCTTATAAACCTTGTAATTCCTTTGATTAATCCAGTTCCTAGAGGCATTCTAATATTGGTGAATTATGTTGTTCCAGATATATTCCATCAATATCAGGTGACAGAGTTTCTCTTAGTTGAGGGATTCAGTCCTGTAAGGCTTAGGGACAATGCCAGAACTCTGCCATCCAAGTTTTTTTTCTAACTACATTATCTCACAAGCAGAAAAATTTCCTTCAGAACTGGTTACAATGACAATATATTGCTCTGGAGATATAACGATGAGGATGTGCGTTTACATTTTCTGCCCATTACAAAAGTCCTTGTACACATGAGAAAGCAATTGCGTGCACAGGGGATTAGTGTTCTTCTAAATACAGGAAATGTTCAACTTCTTGTGAATATATTAGAAAAATACTCTAAAAATGATTTTGCTATTTAACTGCCAATGTACGATTAAATTAATTCAACAGTCACTGATGGCCTAGATCAGCCTTATGTTGATGTTTCACACCAGTCATTAACGGATGACTAAATAAATATTTTGGAAAACCATGGGAAGATTAAGTTTTATTTGACAGTGGAATTGTTGAAAGATATCCAGCTGAACACAGCGGGGAGACCGCGCTTCCTTCCTACAAAATCAGCCTCCTTTGGGCCTCTACTTGTGAGCCACTTAGCCCTTCAGTCTTGCAAGCGCTCTGTTTCACGATGCAGTTATAAGGAGGACTTGAAGCTACCGTAAAAGTGGTGCTTGGCACCAGCAGCGTAGCAGCAGCCCTGACGTCTCCTTGCTTCCAAGAGGGAGAGGAAGTTTCCATTTCAGTTTTGGGACTCCCCTGAGGGCACTTCAACACCCCCCTCCCGCGGTCCGCGGGCACTTTTGCCGTTTGCCTAGGAACATTTGCACAGCAGCAAAAGCAGGCAGGGTCTTAAAAGCGCAGGCGGACAACCCGCACTGTCTCGGAAGTGCGAGCCCACCCCTCCCCTGCACACGCGTGAAGACACGCTATCACCCGCGTGCGACCGTCACGACGCAGGAGCAGCGCGGCCCACG